AGTAAGCTTTTGAAACCAAAGCTTCTTTAAAATATACACTGAAAGTATACTGAAATTATCTGATTATTGAAAATATATTTGAATACAGCTTCCCAAAGAATTCAGTATAGCACATTTTATTTAGAAACATTCAAAGTCACAGAATAGTGAAAAAAATATGATTCTATTCATTACATGATTATTTATTCTTGATAACATACTGTGAACTTCATTGTGCAGTGAACATTACAATTAAGTATATTAAACACAGAACAGCCATAAATGTACTCACTAAGTAATAATGGTAATACTATCAGCTTACTGGTATCCATTTTTGTCAAGTGATAATTTTATTGGAGAGCAATATTGAGATGCAAACATTTGTTGTCCTTTTATAGACAATTGTTCCGATAACTATTTAGTGAGTACTGGCAACATAGGGAGAAAATTACGTACCTCAGATGCTGTCCTGCCTGTGGCTGTAATGAAGTCTCTGTAGTAATCTAATTGTAATGACTAAGCAAAAAAATGGAATTCTAATTTACAACAATAAACCAAGCAAATTGTCAGTAAAGACATACTGACTTAAGCCTTGTTGACAAAGGCTTGTTGGTGTCAAAACTGTTCTTTTTTGGCCAAGGAAAAAACCCAGGTTCTTCCAAATTATTCAAATTGCACAAATTATGTAATCAATTGACTTTATACACAGCTTGACAGTGAAGTTCTTTACATGTTCTTTACTTCAGATTTTCAGGGGTGCAAAGGGGTTAAGAAACATAATCTTGGGGTTTGGAGTACAGTTGCACTTCCATTTCTGGAAGTGGTCAGGGCAAAAATCCATGGCTGAACCAAAAAAGAATCAAACTCTCAGTTTAGAATCTTGATGTCACTTGAATTTGGCACTTCTTCCTGGCAGAAATGGATCTCCCTTCCTGCCATCTTCATATTTACTTTTGTAATATGAATATGAGCTTTGTGTTGATTTCATCCCAGCTTTGAATTTTAGAGTGAAGGTTGGGGTGTGAAGTACTATTTGTGTATTTGCTGCCTAAGAAATGTTATGGTTCTTATACCACTTCCTGCTCTGTGTGATATATTTTTCACTACATATGTTAAACTATCAGCTAAAGTCTATACAGAAAACAGTAAAGTAGTATTTCAACTCTAAGTTTAATTAATGCCACACACTGTGTAGAGTAAAGCAAAATGTATGACCCGCTACAGTGTCATACAAAAAAAGAAATGTTGACAGCAGGAGCTGCTGGCCAGAGGCTGTGTTACTGTCAGCATGAGTGGAGATCACCAGCTGGTTCTGCTAAATCATCCATATGATGTCTGGAGCTATAGCCAGTTACAGTTGTGAATGCTCCATGCCTGGCAGTGTTCAAGGCCAGGTTGGATGAAGCCTTGGGTGACATGGTTTAGTGTGAGGTGTCCCTGCCTATGGCAGGGGGGTTGGAACTGGATGATCTTCAGGTCCTTTCCAACCCTAACTATTCTATGATTCTATGATTCTATAAGCCGATTGCTTTTTGATATTTTTTTTTCTTTAAATGCTAATGTGAAGATTTTTCCCTGCTAGTTATGTTTTTTTCTTCTATCTCCTCACCTTTACAGCTCATCTGATTGCTATGTTCCTTACAAAGCCAAATCATTGTTGGGTCTACATGCTGTCATACTATAGTTTTGTGTTTTAAAGTTCCCTTGTGTTTTAAATTCTGCTTATGGATTAAGAAAATAATGCATGGAGAATCAGTCAATGAAAATGTATAGAAGTGGTGTCATGTGCTGGGCTACAAGCATAATACCCAAGGGAACAAAAATAATTGCTTTTTGGCTTATCTGTTTAATGATGTGAGTAATAAACAGTTTCAGATTTGTATTTGTTGAATTAGATGTTGATTTCATTTTTTTTTTGAGTAAAGCTAAGTATTCTTTGTGATAATATCTGGTCAGACTTGAAAATTGCTTCAAGCCTTAAATAAATAACTTCCATTTGTAATTAAACAATTAAGAAATCATTCCCAGAGGTATGTTTCTACCACCATTAAGGTTATTTTCTTACTTAAGTCTTGCTATACCTATGCCAGTAATTACTTTTTAATAAGAAATATCATAAAAAGATTAAAGTCTTAAAATAATTGTCATAGAAAGAATGCTTTTTTTTTTTTATTTCATCTATGAAAGTGTCAAATGATTGTGTTAAACTTCAACACATCAAATGTCCTAAGAAATGTTGGACGTTCTTAAAAAAAAAAAAAAACAAAAAAAAAAATTCTTCTGTCATCCCAAAGTATGAGTGAATGTCTCATGGCATCCGTCTCCATTTTATTGGGAGTTTATTCAAATGGATAGATTCCAATGAATCAACATTCTTGTAACAAAAGCACTCTTTATTGAAAATTTCAAACAACTTTTAATCATTTTATTGACATTTTAAACATGGTATGTTTTTTCTGTTCTTCACTCTCAGGAATGCAAGCTGTATTAAACACTTGAAAATCTATAACTGAGTAATATTTTTCTAAAAGGTAGGAGTATGAAAGCTTGGTTAATAGCAGGGACTGTCAACTGAAGTGTATTAACTGAAGCTAGCAGAAAATCTGGGCAAGATTAGGGAGCACTGAGGGCCTCTAAGCAATCTGAGTCACAGGATTTGCTGCAGGGATTGTGGAACCCTTGAGACCTTCAACTTGAGCTTCCCAGAAAGCAAAAAAGAAATTGGGAGAGAGCATGAACTAGAAAAAGTAACTTTTGACCAGCTCTCATTGTAATTCCTCCAAACTTGTATTGCCTCTCAAACAGGGAAAAAAAAAAAGAAACCTGAAAGTAGTGTAAAATGGAAGAGAGTGAAATGAGACTGAAGTGGTTCAGTTCTTCAGTTTTTCTCTAGTTTGCTCCTCCACAGGATGCAGGGTGGCGGTCTGCTCCTGTAGACCTCCATGGGCTGTAGAAGAATATCACCAAGCCTCAGTCAATTGAACAGTATACACTGAGAGAACTGAGTGATGCCTGACTGTGGTGATGGAATAAAATTTCATTGTATTTAATGACTGTGTTGCAAAGAATACGTTTCATGGGGCCACATTTATTATTTCAGGGACAGTGCTACTTTTAGCATTCTCACTATCTGGAAGTTGACTTTTCAACGGTTTCTAATAGTGATAATTCTTTCATAAGTAGTAGCTAAACTAAGGTCACAAGTTAATGGAAATGGTGTAAAAAATACTAATTACTTCAAATCTCAAAATGTGATCATGCATTGCATTTTGATTATAATGACTGGTTAAATAAATGTGTAGAAACTCATTATAAGGAGGAAGATGATTAACCCTTTCAGGCATTCATTTTCTTAATTCATAAGACATTCAGACACAGCTAGGATGAATACTGCCATGATGTGATGAGGGTTTGATTAAAGCCTTCTGATGCTTTGCCCTTGGAGGACTGAGAAAAGTCACAGAGGGAATTTTGTAAAGGTTTAGTATGTAAATAAATTGCTAAACATCACAGTTAATTGAAATTATGGGAAAAGAGAAGCAGTTCTGCTTGAAAAGAATAAAAATGACAAAATGCCTGTTCGCTACCTTATTTAAAACCTGATTTATAAAATAATTATTTCTGTTTTACTTATTTCAGTGATATATGTATTGTTGTAATATGAATGTATATTATATGACTTGCTGCTGTCATTATAGTGGGTTCATTTGTGCTATTACTATCTCATTCATTAACAGTTGCATGGTAAAAAAAACTCAACAGTTTTGGTTTGGATAAATATCTAACAATATGGATGTTTTACATAAGCATTATTGAGCTTTAAATTATAAAAATCTTATAAAATCACCATTTATTTGATCCTTCAAATGGATTTAATAAGATTTTTATTTCTAATTCAATCAACTGAACTATTATGCATTTTTAACTTCCTTTTAGTGAAAACAAAAGCAGTTTTTAAGCATAAACCTGATCACCCTGGTTTTATAAGTTTATTGTTTGGTTGTTGGTTTTTTTTGTTATTTCTGTGTTTGCGTTATTTTTCCTTCTCTTGAACACAAGGCCAATCTTTTTGATGGGCACGTTTCAGGAAGAAGTTTTACATAAAAAGAAAGAGGTTTCTTTAATTTCTTTTTAAGTCATGGAGAAAACTTAATGCTTTCTGGTCTAAAGGCAATGTCACAGACAAATATGAAAATAAAGAGCTCTAAAAGAAAGTTAAGTATGTAAAAAATGTCAAATGGTTTTGCATTAAGCACAATGAGTTTTTGTTCTATAGAAGAATTAAGAATTAATGGTAACTTCTTTAAGCTGTTTGCAGTTACTTCTTGCTTGTTTGCTAGAACTTAAACTGGTTCAGGAAAACAATGGATGTTGGTAGTATCCATATCTCATAAAGGCCAAAATTAAAGCTTTGAAGGGTTTTTATGTTTCTTACTATGTCAAATATAGTGTATACAGCGGCATACTTCTGTGTAAAACATGGCTGTATGTATAATGGCATAAATTATTAATTTACTAAGCATAATGAAAGAGTGGTAATTTCATCTGTTACAGAGGTATTTTAGAAAGAATAGAGTTTAATTTTTAAACAAGAGTGCACTGGTTTTGGCTGTAAGCTGCTATGAAAGAAAATTACTTTTATCTCAGCAGAAAAAAGTTACATGGCTTTTTTTTTTTAAAACTGAATTTTCCTACATGACCTTGTAAATGACAATAAAGCAGTCTTCAGAAATAAAATGAGGTACAGACTTTAATATTTTTTTATAATTTATTCCTGATAAGTTTAAAATGCAAATCCAATTTGAAACATCAAACAAAAAGTTTAAATTAATAAAACCCACCAAATTCTTACTAAATATGTAGGAAAAATAACATTGATGGGTCTTATGCTGAATGAATATATCTGTTTTGCGCCCATGGAAACTGATTTTCTCTACTTTGTCAGATAATTGTCATGTAATAAAATCCATGAAAAACAGACCTCTCATTTGCTTACTTATACATCCATCTTTCTTTTCCAGATGACACGAGAGCAGTATATATTAGCAACACAACAGAACAGCCTTCCAAGGACTGAGCATCCTCAGTTTTACCCAGTTGGGATTTATGGATGGCGAAAGAGGTGCTTATACTTCTTTGTCCTTCTGCTGTTGGTTACCATGATTGTTAACTTAGCAATGACAATATGGATTTTGAAGGTTATGAATTTCACAGTGGTAAGTATCATAGTAACTATGTTTCTTGAAGTAATAAGTTGTAGTTTAGTTCTCTTTGCCAGTTTATACACAAATCTTGTAATTTTGGATTAAAAATCATATATGCTTCTTTGAGGGTTACTTCAGTCATTTGTAGGTTTTCTGTATATTCTGCAGTGCGTAGACTTGTGCCCTATCAATTCAGATAGTTTTGCTTAATCATATGTGCTTATGGATCTTATATTTGGATCTTTAATTTTTTAGTTTGCTCAACCAGAAACGTGGTGACTGCCCCAGGCACCTTTTGGTTGCTTGTCACCAGTGAAAGAAATCAGTAGGAGGTTACTGTGTGTGTTCTGCATGGATAGTATCTCTCTTAGGAGGAAACTTGGTTATTTAGGTCAACTTATGGTGGTTTTTTTCAGTTTATGTTGTTCTTGGTATTTTTTTAGAGTTTACATTTATACTGTGTTTCACCTAGAAATTAGAGTGGCTGTTTTGATGTTGGTAAGAGGCAGGCATGAGAGCCATGGGGTTTTATAAGATAGCCTCTATCTGGAATCTTTAATAGCAGCAGATACCAAGACTGTATTTCAGATGTACACCTGAACATCTGTGTTCAGTGGGATCTGTGTTATCTCCTCAGCTTTGTTCCCAAAGCTTTGTTTGGATAAGGGTGATGGAAGTGCTCACTAGTTGGCAGTGGAGTAGCATCTTTTTGTATACAAAATGAAAAGATAGAACACTCCACGGTTTGAAATAGCAGTGCTTCTGCTAGGATCTTAGTCTGTGTATGGCTTTTCCATTCATAAGCCACATTTTTATGTAGCTGGTAATACATTTTGAATTTCAAGGGTCATAGCACATTTCTATTCTCCATTATTTTACTGGAAATAAAAAATACCAAACAAGACCCGCATTAAACATACGTCTAAAATTGTTCTATATTTGCTAATGCTCTGTAATGCATAAGTTTATCTGAGATCATTGGCTGATGAGATGTATTGTGCAAATACATTACTATTTCTGATTTGCCAGTAGTGGTTAAATATTTTGGATTCATATTTTGACAACTGCATGACATTAATATTACTGTACTGAAGTTTGTTAGAAGTTGCGGGGGGGTTGTTGCTTGTTTGTTTGCAAAACAGAACATGCGCATGTGCTTTGCTGTTTGTATTGAAGCATATTTAGGCAACCTGTTTACATCAGTAAAATGGTCTACTATTTTATCTAGAGGAGAATTAAGCATGGAAATTTAAATAGGTTAAGAAAATGTTTTAAAAAGCACAGGATTTTTCTCTGAGCAGAAGATTGCATTTCAGTAAAATACTGAAAATGCTGCTTCTGTATCTAGGCAATGTTTGACCTTTCACACTAAAAGTTACTGTAGCACTGTCCAGTTTAAAACTCTTACAGTTTGAACATGCAGTCTTTTTAAAACAAAACCAAAAAAGATATTTTAAATGTTTTTCTTTGCTGCATGTCAAAGCTTTGTTAGAAAGTGTTTCAGTGAATCACTAAATAGGTGTAGGTATCTAGTTCAGGAAACAACCAGACTGTTTCAGCAGTTCTGTGTACTACTGAGTTAGTAGATTGAAAACTGTGCTTCACTAGTTAGAGGTGCATATCTGAAATAATTATGTGAACATTGGCTTAATAATTTCACAAAAATAGTGTCTGAAATGTTATGCACTTAATTTATGAACTCATTATTTAATTTTTACAGTTCAGAAATCACAAAGCTTGTGTACACCTTTTATAAACCTGAATTTGTTATAAATACAAAAAAAAAAAAAAGGAATGCCACTGGTTAGTGTAAGTTAATCATTAACGTTCCTGTGTCAGAATTAATTTTAATTTTGTATTTTCACTTTTGCCATGGCCATAAAAGTGAAACATATCACTCCTCTTTCATATGAATATCTCCACCCCTACCCACCCGGTGTTGCACATGCTTGGGAACTTTGCATCCTGTCCAAATCCATTTTGTTGATCATACACAGGAGAACACCAGTTTTCTTCTGTAGGTTGATTGAATGGTAGTCTTCTACCTGGACTAGTTAGTATTCACATTAGAGTCTCTGTATGGATTCAAAAATTGATTGCTTGAAGATTGTCATGTAAAAAGTTCAGTAATTTTCATGCTTATGTCCACACATGCCCATTTGAGCACCAGTGGGAAATTTGTATCAGGTCTGAAGGGGTAACGTTCTTAGCAACAGACATCTGAGTGTAAAATAATTTAGTTTAAGAACCTAAGCTTCATGTGTTTAAAGAATGTAATAGCTTTGAAATATACATAGATTTCTATCATGCATGTACATATGTATAGATAGATAGAAACTAAGAAAGAGTATTTGTATGTCTGGGCAGTGATAGGAACTCAGAAGTGGAGCTAGAAAGCTTTTGGAAAGGAAAATACGTTTGTCAAACAGGTTTAAAGAATATTTTCTCAAAAGAAAAATGCATCTATGATAAAATAATTGTTGAAATTGAACTGCTTTGACATTTTGACATGATTTTAAATTAGTTGCTGTTTTAGCATAAACCAGTGTTGCCTTTCATAAATATGATAGTAATTGCACCACTTCAAGGGGCTGTGAAGTACCAGGCCATGGGTTTGTCATTGCTGGCTGACAGTTGTAACAGTGTTAATTTATACTAGCTGTTGCCGTTCTATTTTTAACTGTACAGCTGCAGCCACTGCCCATTTGCCACAATAAAAGCCTTTCTGAATTAAATTTATAGATTCTCTAGTTGGAAAGGTTTTCTGAATATACTGACCTTGCATGTAAAAGTCCTGTTCTGAATTTAAGCAATTATCCCATGCTCTTTTTATACACAGAGAGGAGAAATAGGGTCTTCTGTAAGGCCATTCATCAGGCAACTGAAGTCCTTAAGGATTGATGTGGAATATCAAAGAAGTAATTGAAAAAGAAGTAAGGGTTATTTGATGTTGTATAAAACCAGTACAGTCAAGTTGTGCAAATCTCCTTTTAACAGATTAAATAGCATAGCTGGTAAAGGTAGAGAAACTTTCAGGTATGTACAATCTCTTCTCCAGTTACAATGTAAGAAAAAAACCTGAAAGGTAAATACAAGTTACAAATAATTGTCCTGATATTATATGTATTAAATGAGCAAGCCCAAAGGTAATTAGTATCTGTGTAGCAGAAGGAATATTAGATGGAGGAATCAGAGATGTTATAACAATTTTTAAAAAGATATTCCTCCACTGGTAGATTAGTGCTTCTGTCCGTTAACATCTATTTAAGATCTCTTACCTCACTGTTTGATCATCTCTTTAAAGTTACATGTGAAAGCATGTAAGAATCTCAGGACAACGAAGTCCCTAAACATTAATGTGAACAGAAACCTGTAACATACCAGACTATTCTGGGTTTACGTGGAAAGTAATGGATTGTGAGCAGGCTATATTAGAGGGAGATCTGACCTTGAACAAAATGTTTTGCCAATAACATAGCCCTGAAATAATCCCTGCACTAAAGCTCTCATTGAAATAAAATTTTCTGTTCTTTTTTATGTGGATCGAATGGATCCACTCTGTCCTGAGTGGTAAGGAAAAAATAATTTGACAGCCTCTATAACATATTGTCCCCTAATGGAACCATCAAAATCTCTGAATCACGTGCTTGAACTTCAGATGTCATCTACTGTACTAAATGCTTTCCTGAAAAGTAAACAACTGCTGTCTTCGAGAATGAACTCAACTTTCCTTATCTCTTAAGCCTGATCTTTTGAGACACGTAGAACATCTAGGAAAAAAATCAAGCCAGGAACTAAAATCTGTATATTTTGTCGATGTTAAAAAAACAGAGTTGGAAGACTTGAGTTTTACGGAACATTTATAATTTCCTTTCCTTCTATTAAGTTTGCCATGGTGCACAGGCTTCCCCATGGAGACGTCTGTCTTTCATTTCCCCTCAGGATATAAGTGCCTCTCACTTAGTCTAGGTTATATATGGCTTATGAAGGTCAAAGCTGTTAGCTGCTTTTTTTGTTTCTGTACAATTAGTATACTAGGTGTTTCAAGGATGGGATACTCAAGTAGTAACTTGGTGACATAACCACAAGTTGGTTATGGATATGTTTTGTATTTAAAACATCCTGGTTATTTCACTTATGTAATATATATGAGTTTCAAAGGAAATCAGGGAAAAAATGTTTTTACTGTGCATGCATTCTTCTCGTCATTTATTTGTCCAGTCCAGTGCATAGGTAATTAGCTTACATTTTCTTTAAAGATTTAATTACTTGAACATTATTCTCTGAAATATTTTTAATCCTGTATTGTCTTTAACTTATTCTAACCCCATTAGAACTATAATTTTATACAATTTATTTTTGATATAGCTACCAACAGCTTAAGTATATTGATAGGCTATCTGCTTGCTTACTCTATAAAAGAGATTTATTTTACATTTTTTGTCAATAAACTAATACCAGTGTAAAAATCCACAATTGAAAATTTTCTGCAAGTGTTTCAAATTATAGTTTTATAAAAAGAAATTAAAAGTTTGCCTCTTGCTGCTGTGAAGTGACATTGTGGAGCAAGATGGAGCAATCAGCATAGAAACCTAAGTTTCTAAGCACATTTATATGTTTTCTAATATGTACGTAATTGACATTGATACTGCATTTGCTTGATATTACCTTATTCTATTGTTCATTGCATCACATTGAAGTTTGGAGTTTACTAATGCTGAAAAATATATAATGATAGGAAAAATGCAAATATGAACCCTTTTAGTTCTTAAGATCTCTTTTGGGTTGTCCTGTGACTCAGCCACATATCCTAGGAAGCAGCAGCACCAAATTCATAGAATCATAAAGTCAAAGTGGTTTGGGTTGGAAGGGACCTTAAAGATCATCTAGTTCCAATCACCTTGCCTTGGGCAGGGACACCAGTGGGTTTACTAGTTCTGCTTGTATATCTGGTTTGGCGTGTCTCCATATTCTGCTTTCCCCTTAGGAATCAATGTATGAAAAGACTTCTT